ACCTTGCAGATATAAATACATATAAATTTGACCACCTATCTGGAATTTGAGATAAGATAAAGAACACACAACGCACCATCTCAAACCATGGACTCAGTCCCAACTTGCACTTTACCACAGAATTTTGTACCTTTTCTTCGAAGTAGGCATTTGCCACATTACCAGTTTTGGGAAGTGTAAATAAGCATTTCATATAGCTGAGCAATTCTTCTTGATATATCTAGTACCTTTCCTCACACATCTAACAGTACTGTAAAAGTAAATTGTAATTTGAACCAATTGTCCAACTAATTCTGTTCTTACCATTTAATCCAATTATAACTGGATGTTTATTGACAAATAAAACTAATTAATGCAATGTACAAATCTGATCATGGTGTTCAATATCCTCTAAATCATTCAGGTTCATTCAGTCTGATGGTCCAAGAAGTTGAAAGCAACTGAATAGATCAAATAGGCCTTTGGTTCTGGTCGCTAATTAGGCAGAAAATAACAAACTTTCTGTAAAAGTAACACAGAGCTCAACATTTATTGCCACTGTATAACTCATCTTTTAAGTTTTCGTTCCATGAAAAAACAAAATTAGACTTCACCATGTCCCACCTGATTAGATTATAAAGACAATTTAATGTGGTGACAGAGTGCATAGAATCCGACATTCATCTAAATACTTGATTATGTAAATATTTTCCAAAAATTATTTTTATATTTCCTCATATTTCACCATGATAGTAATGTATAAACATTGAAATCAGTGACACACGCCTGCTTCAGATGTATTTTCCTTCCCAGAATAACCTCTCGCAACAGTCTACATTCAAAGAGAATTTGAAAGTGTAATCTTCGTGTCAAATTTCAAACTGTGGACTCTGAAATTTACACATTGTGACAAAAAATGTAGCATGTGGGATGCATTTCCGGTGAGTTTGTTACAAGAACTAACAAATGATAGGAATGGGAGACAAATTAGAACATGATGTTTGATAGTTTTGTTTCAGTTTACAATATGAAAAGGAATATGTCAGGAATTATTTAAGTTTGTTTACAAACTGTTATTCCAGAATGTGTGCATGCATAGCTAAAACTCATTAACTGCTCAGTGTAAGTCCTACATAAACCTAAAACATGCTGAATATTCCCATATGTTGCATTACTGACAATGACAGTAAGATTTTGGAGGCATTATTTGTGATAAACAAAGTGGAAACTATTTGAAATAAACAAAAATTCCAAAGCTCTAGCTCCATGTTCATTTTGAGATAAACAAAGATTACCATGTTTGTAAACTCATATGTAATGACTTCTGCCACAACACAAACGGTGCGCATCTAAAAACCGACTTACTTTCTATATACCTGGCAAGTATTATATTTTGTCTCACTTTACTATATTTTGGACAACGGTATCAGGAACTATACCGAAACCTCGCCTTTAAACTAAATAAAGAAGTTGTTATCCATAGATTATCTCTACTTTGGCATTACTTTAGTCAATATTGTTCAAGTTTTGTAAACTACATCAATTGGCTTCCTAAAATTATTTTGTAAAATTTTCAAACGGACAAACTGATTGAATCTAAAAATTAAGTTTGTGTTACTGGCTAGTAAATTGCAAGAAAATCAACAAGGCTTTAGTTGAGCAAAGGTACAAAGCATCATTGACAAGAGATATATTTGTTAAAATATTTGATAAAATTCCTGAACTTAAAAGTCTTGACATGGATATGACAAATTTGTTATTAGATTGCTGGATATAATTATATGTGAGAACTTTAAGTGAGTTGTTTTAATGGCTCAAAAGAATTTCAAATCTCTGAGAATGTGCCAGTTGCTTGTTCTTGCACCCCAAGCCATCTGCACCTTACACTCAGTGCATTAAACTATAACACATTAACTTATCTTATTTGTAATCCATCATAGAAACATCTCAGTGGCACTAGACTTATAAGTAAACACACACAACCTCCCAGTGTTTGCTTACGAAAATGAATCACTCACTAAATATTTCTATATGTTTGTGTTGATTTCAGAATACAACCTAAACAAACATGGTATCAAATATCATTATGTACATATCTTAAAAAGAAAGCATTTAAAGGTTTCTCTCTGCTGCCTCTTGTTCGTTACGAGTGATGTTGCATCAGGGTATTGTTATAGTGTGATATTGGCAGTGTGATATATTATTAAACAATGATTGGGACTGTATTACATTATTTCTGTTGAGATTCAGTAGAAGTTTATTGCAATGTCTTTGGACAATGAATAGTTGTCAGGAATGTAGTACAGTTTAATGTAAGCAGTGGTGAGAAAGTTTAGATGCTCGAATTATCTGTAAAGTTCTGGAATAGCATGGATAGATGTAAAGCGTTATAGAAACATGTGAAATATTCTGTGATGTTCAAGTGACACTTGACTGGTCTTGCAGTGTGTAGAAAGTGCTGGAAGCTTGTTCAACTACATAAGTAGAGCGGGTGCGTCTCTGTCTCATCTCACATTTCATCTGACATTATATCAAGACCAGCTTTCATGTGAAGATCACTTTTCACCCCAGTGTTCAGCCTCAGCCTATCTGGGAAGCATGACCAGTGCTGCAGTGAAGTGATTGTTTTTAATTCTCATTGTCATTTCCACTGCTCTCAAATTTTATACTGCCATTGAATATTGTACTACCACTCTATTGTGTACTGTCAGTGTAATTGCTGAGCAGTTATTTGTAAACCTAGTTAAATTTCTAATACAATTGTTGATTGTATACCTTTTGTTGGTTGTTTGTTGGTTTCACATTAAGATTTCGGGGTGTAATTTTCTATATTTGTTAACACAAATATCCCCTGTAAACACACTTAGGTGTTGTGTGCTGAAAGGAAATTTCATCTTGATGCAGGTCACCTGATGTGGAAGGGTATGTTTTTCAGTAGAATTCCATGACACGGTTTAAGTTGATGAAACTGTTTCATCTTAGTCATCGTCCAACTGGCTGAGGTCAGCCATAGCCTGTACTAGTACATACAGAAACCACACAGCTGCCTAGTTGCAGGCATTTGGCTTGGTGCCATTGGTTCACAGGGAAATGGTATTGTATCAGCATTTTGTACACAGGCAATATATATATATATACATGTATATATATACTTATGGAAAGAAAACACGGAACAAATGGAAATATTATAGACTAAAGATAGCATATGTGTCCAGTCATCTTCCCTCAACTACCAGCAAGTACCGGCACAGTCTTTTAGTCCAACTTTGCTGTGTGTCTTTGCCTTTCTCTTCCTGGTTGGGCTTATCTACAGGTCATATCATGTTCTTTCATATTTCGATGGTCAAGTTAATACCTCGGCTTATCTACGGGGTTGGCTTATCTGCAGCCATGAGGATACCACAGATCCAGTTTACTGACAGGCCTAAGGATGGTTGCAAAGTTGCAAGTGCCACTGTCACTGGATCCAAAACTGCCTCTTTCAGAATTTCAGCATCTTCCCTAGGCAAGGGAAATAACTGACCATAAAAGTTCAGTTTCCACCCTTGCCAAACTAGGCTTGAATTATGGAGCTATCAAACCCAGAAATTCCATCCTAGTTTGGCAAGGGTGGAATCTGTACTTTTACAGTCAGTTAACTCCCTTGCATCAAGACTATTGAATTTCAGATAATAGCTCAATTTTTCCTTTTACAGCCAATAAAATCTGTTTTGGCAGATAATCAAGACCGATTATTCTCTGGCGTGGATGTTTTATATTTAATCAATTTATGTATAATTTGTTCTCATCACCACATGGCTTAAATATTGCTGATGTGGCATTAGATATTAACTCCTTCACACAGGATACATCATGTACATACAACTTACAAACTCACTCACTCAGGATATATACAAACTCACTCACTCAGGATATATACAAACTCACTCACTCAGGATATATACAAACTCACTCAGGATATATATACCAACTCACACACTCAGGATATATACAAACTCACTCACTCAGGATATATACAAACTCACTCACTCAGGATATATACAAACTCACTCACTCAGGATATATATATACAAACTCACTCACTTAGGATATGTACAAACTCACTCACTCAGGATATATACAAACTCACTCACTCAGGATATATACAAACTCACTCACTCAGGATATATATACCAACTCACTCACTCAGGATATATACACACTCACTCACTCAGGATATATACAAACTCACTCACTCAGGATATATACAAACTCACTCAGGATATATACAAACTCACTTACTCAGGATATATACAAACTCATTAACTCAGGATATATATACAAACTCACTCACTCAGGCATAACAAAATTTCACACGAAACTAATGCTTCCCTTTTTAAATGTTCCCTTAATTCTTACCATCAGTATATACACCTGAGAAGTACAATGAGTTCAGGGGCATATCAAAATCTAAAACAAATACACAATGAATGTTATAAGATCTTGTCAGCTGGTATTATAGCAGCTCCCCAATAAACTCTTATTTTCAAAGCTTTAAGTTAGAGCAGCTGTTTAAGTCATTGTTTATTTGGAAGAAGTATAAACGTTTCTTTGAGGTCTTTCTATGTTGGATTAACATTTTAGCAGTGAAGTCAGTGATGAATGGTCTAAGCAAGAGTTTTATGTACCAGAGCAACTCTCCTTCAACAAATGAAATGTTGACACATCCGTGAACACATATCAGATTGTCTTGAGAAAAGATTACACTCCATAAGCAACTTGTCATTATCAGATGAATGTTTTTCCCACGACATCTCCTAAGCACAAAAATTATTTCCATGGCATGAATCTATGCGTTGTCCCTGTTCGTCAAATAAGGGCATGTTGACTGACTGGTTAATGAGAGAACACATAATTTCTTTACTTCCGCTGGTATTTTAGAGTGTGGATAGTTTGGTAGTATCATTATAAATCTGTGTTGTTGATCGCCAGTTTATTACCCCTAAACACGAACGTTAATTTTTATCAAAATTTCAACTCACCAAACATCCTGCAGTCCCAGATGGTGCCTCGCTAATTTGTGCAATTCCAGCTGCCTTCTTTTTCCGTTTGTCGGAGAACTTTTCATATTTGTGCATTTCCTTTTCTGTGAGACTATTACAAAACCTTGGGTCAAGGTCGTGCAAGGGCAACTGTCGCTGAAGTTGTTTTCTGCGGAGTTGTGATGCAAATTCTTGCTTGTCTTGTGGTAGCATAGAGATGTATTTTTGAGATCTCTGCAATCACCAAAAAACAAAGATTAAATTAACATAACGCCCATGTCATAAAATATTACCCGACGCATATTTCAGCAATGTCATCAGATTGAAAACAATCCATGTCCAATCTTATAAAGAATGTAAACACCTCTATCTTCCCATCTGCCATATTGTCCCAGACATTCATAATAAACTCTAACACATCATACATGTATTTATCTTATTTGTTTACACACAATGTCATCGGCGCTTCATAATGCTTTACATCCAATATTTCGGTGCCTTTTTCAGTCATGCAATACATCTTGTTTCTTTCACAGGAAGTGACATTGTGAAAAGAACACCAATCTTATGAATTTGCCTTTGTGAACTCAAAGCATTTTACCCAAGCAAAGATGCAGCTCAGAAAAGGAGGGATGCATTTTGCGATTTGGCAATTTTCATACAGTAATTGTGTAACTGTTTTGGAAATATATCGCCAAATGGGTTAGTCATTGTGTGGTTATAGATGTTTACTTATAGACTACCAGATGCACTGCCGTAAAAGGTGACTATGCTTGTCGTAAGAGGCGACTAACGGGATCGGGTGATGCATGTCATCGTATCCCAATTGTGTGGATCGATGCTCATGATGTCAATCACTTAATTGTCTCGTCCAGACTCGATTATTTACAGACGGCCTTCATATACCTGGAATAATGCTGAGTGCGGCGTTAAACAACAAACAACAACAACCAGATGCACAATAAAGAGTTCAAATGTATGAATGTTTTAATAGTATGCTTCAGTAAGTGGGGAGGAGGTACATACACCCTATACCCACTTCTGGATGAGAACACTGTTAATGGCTGAGGTCAAATGTTGAATTCAAAACCTAGTTTACAAACAACAGGTAAGTACTTTATAATACATAATTTCAATGAAGTGTCCTATATTTGTCAATAAAGACAGATGGGTTTATCTCTATGATTGACACCAATTCTCCCAGTCAACACTCAACCATCTATTCAGCCAAACAGCTTTGAAAATATGCATGACAAGAAATATTATTGGTCTAGTCTAATGTTTTATGCAAATAATCCTGTACTAACCCTAGGACATGAACAGTTACTCCAGATTTCATAAAATGAAATAAGTTTCACATTTATCATAAGTACACAATCTCTAACATGTGGGTGCAGCGACATTTCCTACCATGGTATGTAGAAACAGGCTGCAATAACACAAGAAATTTGGAAAATAGTAACAGACCATATATATGTCTGCAGTTTATAAACATGATAAGTAATTAAGAAGATTAAATGCATATCTCAAAGTTATATATAGTAAGTATTTTAAATTATTGTTTGTGTTTTTATAATGGCAAATGAGGACATTTTACTTTGTTTTCCTTTGATGAAAAAAACTCAGTGTGATGCAGAAAGATTAAAGATTTGATTTCAAAATGAAATGCATTATGGTAGAAATATGCTGTTTCTGCAAACTGAGAGCATGGATGGATAAAAAAGTGAAGATTGAACGTGTCATAACTCATATGCCAGCTGTTGAATGTGTGAAAAACAAGTTTTCTTGTACAATGTGGCAAAAAATAATCAGCTGTTTCCTGAAAGAAGTTATTGCTAATGATTCACAGCAAAGTTAAAGCAGTATCATTAGCAGAAACTGGGGAAAATTACTTTTTTCTGAAAACATTTTAATGATTTCAGCAGACAGTTCTTAAAATACTACAAGCATTTTATACATTATACCAACAGAATAATTTTGACTAAGAAATTGAGTATTTTTGAAGTAGTAGTAATGGTCTATATTGTGTAAGAGTGAGCAGTATTTCCAGCATATCGGTAAATTAGGGGTTCATTCTTTCCATTACACAATATCATTTTTTAATGCTCAGTATCTCAGGCGATATCAAATAGCGATTTTTATCATGTGTTGAATGTTATACACTTGCCAAATACCAAGAGCGTGCTTCCAGAGCATGCATCTGTGCATATTCTTTGAATGAGTAGACATATGTTGTACCAGCATCTTATTTTGTTCCATTTATGAAGTTCAATTCTTACCCTGGTGTTTCAAATTTCTTCTGAATTCAAAATTTAGAATTATACAAAATATTGTGCTACTTATGGCAATACGGTTTTGTGCATCCTAAAATACTGTAATACACTTTAAACCTACAATACCCATCCCTAATATTGTGTCTTCAGAAGCCAGTGCTTGTCGTAAGAGGTGACTAGCAGGATTGAGTGGTCAGGCTCACTGACTTGGTTGATGCATGTCATCTTATCCCAGCTGCATAGATCGATGCTCATGATGTCAATCACTGGGTTGTCTGGTCCAGACTCGATTATTTACAGACCACCATCATATAGCTGGAATATTGCTGAGTGCGGAGTTCAACAACAACAACAATGTAAGAAGCTTAATAAGAGCCTTAACCATGTGTCTGGTCACCAGCGACACAACTGTGCAAAATGTTGATGTGATTACTGGAGGAGATACACAAAGGTGATATTGCCAATCAGTATCCCAACCTGCAAGATCATGAACTGTTTTGACCAGATGGACATACAAGGACCTCCTCTGAGAGGTCACGCAAAACAAGGCATACAAGGACCTCCTCTGAGAGTTCACGCAGACGAGGCATACAAGGACCTCCTCTGAGAGGTCACGCAAATGGACATACAAGGACCTCCTCTGAGAGGTCACGCAGACAAGGCATACAAGGACCTCTTCTGAGAGGTCATGCAGACGAGGCATACAAGGACCCCCTCTGAGAGGTCACGCAGATGAGGCATACAAGGACCTCCTCTGAGAGGTCACGCAGATGAGGCATACAAGGACCTCCTCTGAGAGGTCACGCAGATGAGGCATACAAGGACCTCCTCTGAGAGGTCACGCAAATGGACATACAAGGACCTCCTCTGAGAGTTCACGCAGACGAGGCATACAAGGACCTCCTCTGAGAGGTCACGCAAATGGACATACAAGGACCTCCTCTGAGAGGTCACGCAGACAAGGCATACAAGGACCTCTTCTGAGAGGTCATGCAGACGAGGCATACAAGGACCCCCTCTGAGAGGTCACGCAGATGAGGCATACAAGGACCTCCTCTGAGAGGTCACGCAGATGAGGCATACAAGGACCTCCTCTGAGAGGTCACGCAGATGAGGCATACAAGGACCTCCTCTGAGAGGTCACGCAGATGAGGCATACAAGGACCTCCTCTTAGAGGTCACGCAGATGAGGCATACAGATCACAGGGATGGACAAGTCAGTAAGCTTGGTATTAATGACTCATGAACTGACGAAACAAGAAGGTTCATAAAAAGTAGTGAAGGGTTTGATGACATACCTTTATTTTTCTGTGACTCTAGTTTCATATGACTTTGCTTTCATATGTCTCTAGTTTCATATGACTTTACTTTCATATGTCTATATTTTCATATGGCTTTAGTTTCATGCCTTTATTTTCATATGACTTTCATGCCTTTATTTTTATATGACTTTACTTTCATATATCTATATTTCCATATGACTTTACTTTCATGTGTCTTTTTTTTCATATGACTTTACTTTCATATGTCTATATTTTCATATGACTTTACTTTCATATGTCTATATTTTCATATGACTTTACTGTCATATGTCTTTATTTTCCAAAGCTATGGTTAAACTAAATTATGGGACATATACATAAGATTTATATCATATTTAATCATAAGTATTTCATTTGAGCTATGGATTGATCATGAATACTGTGCTGTTTCAAGTAACATATTTCACAGTCTATTGTTGAAACTAAATAAGCTGTCCTGACCTAATTATTTTCTATTTTGTTTTTTATAAATTATAAATGTGCAAAGGACGTAAGAGGTGACTAGCAGGATTGAGTGGTCAGGCTCACTGACTTGGTTGATGCATGTCATCTTATCCCAGCTGCATAGATCGATGCTCATGATGTCAATCACTGGGTTGTCTGGTCCAGACTCGATTATTTACAGACCACCATCATATAGCTGGAATATTGCTGAGTGCGGAGTTCAACAACAACAACAATGTAAGAAGCTTAATAAGAGCCTTAACCATGTGTCTGGTCACCAGCGACACAACTGTGCAAAATGTTGATGTGATTACTGGAGGAGATACACAAAGGTGATATTGCCAATCAGTATCCCAACCTGCAAGATCATGAACTGTTTTGACCAGATGGACATACAAGGACCTCCTCTGAGAGGTCACGCAAAACAAGGCATACAAGGACCTCCTCTGAGAGTTCACGCAGACGAGGCATACAAGGACCTCCTCTGAGAGGTCACGCAAATGGACATACAAGGACCTCCTCTGAGAGGTCACGCAGACAAGGCATACAAGGACCTCTTCTGAGAGGTCATGCAGACGAGGCATACAAGGACCCCCTCTGAGAGGTCACGCAGATGAGGCATACAAGGACCTCCTCTGAGAGGTCACGCAGATGAGGCATACAAGGACCTCCTCTGAGAGGTCACGCAGATGAGGCATACAAGGACCTCCTCTTAGAGGTCACGCAGATGAGGCATACAGATCACAGGGATGGACAAGTCAGTAAGCTTGGTATTAATGACTCATGAACTGACGAAACAAGAAGGTTCATAAAAAGTAGTGAAGGGTTTGATGACATACCTTTATTTTTCTGTGACTCTAGTTTCATATGACTTTGCTTTCATATGTCTCTAGTTTCATATGACTTTACTTTCATATGTCTATATTTTCATATGGCTTTAGTTTCATGCCTTTATTTTCATATGACTTTCATGCCTTTATTTTTATATGACTTTACTTTCATATATCTATATTTCCATATGACTTTACTTTCATGTGTCTTTTTTTTCATATGACTTTACTTTCATATGTCTATATTTTCATATGACTTTACTTTCATATGTCTATATTTTCATATGACTTTACTGTCATATGTCTTTATTTTCCAAAGCTATGGTTAAACTAAATTATGGGACATATACATAAGATTTATATCA